GGAACGCTTTGCTTAGTACGGCACACTCAACGATAATTTCTGTACACACAAATACACCAGCCCATCATATACAAACAAACCACTATGGACTTTATTTTCCAATTTTATTCTATATATTTTATTATATATATTCTATACATTTAAAATGTATAAAATTTTAGTCAAATTTTTCTGGTTGTGTCGCTGTCGCTGTCGCTGTCGCTGTCATTGTCGTTATTTTTTTGTTGTTGTTGCTTCTCTCTCTCGTGTGTGTGTGTCGTGTCGTATTGCTACTTCTCTCGCTCTCGAAGTTGTGCCGTTGCTTATGCACGAGGCGCCCCCCCCCCACCCGTTGCTCATTCTCTGCACAGTCGAACTCTTGCTGTGCATTGGCACACAACGAAGGATGTAACAGAAAATAAGAGCGATGAATGTAGCACAAGCGAATGAGCGATTAGTTTGCTGCTTGCACAGCATTCAACAATTCGATTTTCATCTTGTTGCTTGCACTCACTCACTCACTCATTCTTCATTCACTGCCTCGGCCCCACGCTCTCACACTCAGACTCAGACTCTCTGAGCGAGAGAGACTTTGTTGCTTTATTGTTGTTATTTGCTGACTGCTGCTCTATTGTTATCATTTTGAATGTTTTTTTTTCTTGCCATATTCCGTTTCTAATTCGGCCCATGACCGTTTTCCCAACAATTTATTTTATGTTACACATTTGATGCTCGTTTTTTGTCCTTCTTTTTCTTCTGTTTGCCAATGCATCCCGAATCGAATCGTACGAATTGACCAAAAAATGTGACGCCATCGTAATATTTAATATTTTGTTGGCTAAACCCAAATGCAATCTAAATTGGATGACCCATCCATTGGAAGTATCTGTGATTTTAAGCCCGAATTTGTCGAAGAACCGAATTTGTCGAAGAAACAAACATTAACTGATGCAGCGACTCGGTTTTTCATACAAAAAAGCAATGGACAAAAAAAAAACTGCATCATCGATAGATTGATAGAATGTTTAATCCATTTGCATGCGATCGATCGAATTTGGTCGTATTCACTCGAATGTTCGGACAGGTTTTAAAATCAGTATTAAAACGCCCAACATACGCATTGTTATTGACACACAACACCGGCATGTGACCACAATTTCTTGCTGTGATTTGATAGAAGGAGAAGAAGAAGAAACAAAAAATCGCTTATTTATTTTTAGCACTTTGCGTACGCACATGCATTTGGTATATATTTCTTTTAGGTTAATGGTCACAGTCGGCAGCATGCCATTCCTATCATCCGACTTGATGATGAGCAAATTTTTGGGTAAACAATTTAACAAAGGCATGAATCTCGATGAAATTATTGCTCTTAAGTTTACTATGAGCAACAACAAAGAAAAAACCAATCAGAATAGCAGCGTGTCGGGCATTTGATAGAGCCAGAAGAAGACTATCGGAAAATATATACAATATAATTCCTGCTGCGGTTAAAGGTTCAATCGACATATAGATAGTTAAATGAAAGTGAGAGAAATGTACGTTGTCCTGGAAAAAATTAGATAATAAAATGGAGCTTCGTCCCCAGACAAATCGTCATGTGTCAGATGTGTGAACAACGTGGACCATGAATTATTGATGGTAACGATCATCACGAAAGAATATCGTCTCAAGCGACAGAGACGTATAGCATGTAAAATGACGGCAAATTTTCATCAATTTTCCACTGTACACATCAAGGAAAACTACGAAAACGACGTCGACGACGACGACGACGACGACGACAACGACAAAGCAACGATTTCGGAATTTCGGCCAGATCGTGTCCGACCGCACTCGCCAAGAGTGAGAGAAACACAGACACACATACGCTCGCGCACGCATACACAAACCAAATGATTGTGATTGCATACAATCGCATGTGACTATCGTGTTTGTGCTATTTTTAAAACGAAATAATGACGATAAATACACACCGACGACGAATTATTATTCGTAATTAGATTATATATATAAGAAATCTCTTGTCGGTTTCTCTCTCTCTCTCTCTCTCTCTCTCTCTCTCTCTCATTCTCTTTCACTCACTCTCTCTTCCTTCTCTCTTTCTCTCTCTCTCTCCTCATTCTCTCTTACTCTCCCTCTCGCCTTATCGTATTGCTGGTTGTGGTGTTTTGACGTTGGCTGTGAGATGTATAAAGAGGCGAACATTTGCATGTGAACATTTTTTTTTTTTCATTTCGAAGGTATCAAAACGAGTAAATGAATCATTGTTAGAACGCAATGTTATGTGTGAGCAAGTCCGTATTTCGGCAATCTCGTTGTTTCTCACACAACAGTTAACACCGCGAGAACCGAGAAAGACACACAGAAAAAAAAGCGACGAAGGAACAAAGAAGTAATACATCGAGAGAGAGAGAGAGAGAGAGAGAGAGAGAGAGAGAGAGAGAGAGAGAGAGAAAACGCAACTCTAGAACAAAACAAGCGAACGGAATAAGAAAAATATATACGACAAAAGTAAATAGAAATGAAGCGAGAAGCAGCAGCATCAGCAGCAGCAAGTATTTGTTGTTTAAGACTACCATCAAAAATATACATACATATAGACTAGAAAGCACATGAAATGAGAGCATTGTTTAGTATCGTTTCCTTTCTGAAAAATTCTCGAATATGATTCGCAGCCAAATGATATGAACTCGGATGTGATCCCCATTTCGGTTTGGTCTTGAATTTTTGGTGGACTTGCTTGATAGTTTTCTGCTGCTTCTTCTTCTTCTTCTTCTTTTTCCCTAGCTTTTTCCTTCCCTTTGTCTATTGTGTTTTTGATTGTGTCTCGAAATTTTGCAGTGGTTAGTTTAGGTAAATTAAATCGCACAACAAATGGGTGCCGAAAACAACATAAAAATATAACCAAAGCAATTAATACATAGTAACACCACCACCGACGACACCACGCGATCCGTACGAATGAACGAGCGAACGACCAGCGGAAAAAAAATATACGTGAAGAATGAGAGAGCAAGAACCAAGTGTGTGTGTGTACGATTTGGTTGGATGTTTCTTTCTGGTGTGAGCGCACGGTATAGCGTTCATACTGTCTGCCCGATTTGCTGTGTATGTCTGTGTGTCTGCATTTTTATATACTTCGTCGTGTGTTTATATTATTATTATTATTTTTTTTTTTTTTCGTGAAGAAGTCCCAATCGCATATATACAATATACATTGTATTCAGAGGGCTATACTGCGAGCGGACGAGAAAAACGCGAATCAACACCAACAACAACAACAATAACAACAATATCAGCCTGTCCGGCCAGCTAACAAAACACAGAGAAACGACAAAAAAAAAAACCGAAACGCTGCTGCTGCTGCTGAAGCTGAGAAAAAGAACATGAACACACCGAAAAAAATAAGAAAAATAAAAAGGAAAAAGAAGAAGAAGTGCAAAGGCGATGTAAAAATAAATGTATACTATAAGCTTGTAGCACTACACCACAGGCCATAAGTTTGGATACCCCTATGAATGAATTTGGCCCAAAATTTTAAAATTTCAAACCGCTTGTCCAATTTCAACATGCTATACGTCGTTGGAAAGGTCTCGGAGAGTACGTATCATTTTTGGTATTAAACATCAAAATCGGCCAGCTTTTGGCCAAGATATGGCTGATTGAAGATTTCGGCCAAAAATTACAAACGGCCATATTTTGGCCAAACGCCGGCCGATTTTGATGTTTAATACCAAAAATCACATCGACTTTTCAAGACCTTTCCAATGGCGTATATAACTTTTTAATCCGATGGCCCGTTTAAGACTTTGATTTTGGCTCCCACAGCTCAAAGGCCAAAAGATGGCCATAGGCCGGCCAAATGTTATCTTCCAAAACTTCCATTCGGTCAGAATTTCGATATATTTTCATATCCAATACTAAATTTCAAGTGAAAATGTTCAAAAAACGTAGAATCAAACGTTTCATAGGGGTATCCAAACTTATGGCCTGTGGTGTATATGTGTAAATTTTTATGTATAATAGTTCCGTGCGCGCACAAACGCACTTAATCGCTTTTCCTCTTCTTTTTCTATTGCCGTTTTTTTTTCTCTGTACATTATGTTGTTATTGTTGTCGTTGTTCCTAATTTTTCTTTCTGTATCGGGGTTTAAACGCGAAAATTGAGCAATTCACTGGGCAAAAATGAAAATTAAAATTCTACTCGCTATTTGCAAAATTGCAATTGTCCGAGCCGACCGACCATTCGGAAATGATATTTTCTCTGACGACCATTTGCATTCCGAATCACCCGCTAGCTAGTGTGTGGAACACTGAATACAGAAAATGAGTCCGAATAATCCTATAACAATATAAAATGTCAAAAAATAGAGAATTTCGCCATTCCCTTTTTTTGGGCATAATGTGATAGTGTGTGTGGGTATGTGTATGTGTGATTTTGGTAAGAACACACGACGCGCGCGAAATACATCGATATCGAGAAGAAAAAGCTACGGAGAGTGTGTGTGAGATAGAGAGAAAGAGAGTGAACAAGCACATAAACACCATAATATTTTTACCAAACGAATTCCTTTTTTTTGGTGGTTGTGATGGTAGTGTTGCAAAAAAGGAATAAAATAATGAAATTTTTTGACACACAAAGCCGTGACAGCGAAAAAGAATTGCTAAGAAAAGTCGCCAAATGTGAAATGGCACCACTTTGCGGACCACCAAACAGATCCTGTCGAGGCGAGTCAATGATTTTGAAACTCAGTCGTTCTGGCGCTGACTTTTACGGAAAAGCATGGTGAATCCTACAATTAAATGATGAACGCATTATACACAATTATTGTCCAACTGAAGCAGTCGCATTGTTTTGGCGACCATAAGCACGCGATTCATTCTAAAGAATAGGCACACTTGCCCAAAAACTCAAAATTTCCGCATAATTTTATGTGTATGTGTTCCTTTTGAAACATTACTCGCTCCACTCAATTGCATATACAGTGTGGGATAATTGATAATTTGTTGCTATTTACCGTGTATGTTAACAATGTATCTCGTATCCTTTGGAATCGTTCTGTTTTTTTTTTATTTGTCTCTCGCTGTTTTGTTATCCGATAACGAGTTTTATATGAAATCCACACAATCGAACACTATTTTGAATCACACACACTACAACAATAATAACAACAATAACGACACACACAAAAAAATATGCACATGCACAATGTTGTTGGGTCTTTTTATCTTCGCTTTTTTTTCGGTTGGTCGTAATTAATTATTGTTGGACGATTTTTACCTGGTCACTGTTTATATTTAACACAGAATTTTGTCCATTATGTAGTTCTTTCGGCTGATTCCACCGCATTAGGTGCAGATGCACTTGTAATTGTTATGCTTGAAATCTTTTTTCTCTCTGTTTCGTTTCGTTTGTTAATGTTGTTACTTTCGCCGTTTTAAATTTACTGCATAAAAAAGATTCCTTGCTGCTCATCAATTCCGTGTATAGTGTGAAACTTTCGACGAAATAATGTTGACAAAACGTTCTGTGTCGTTTTTTTTTTGCTGCTGCACGGAATCACTTGAACCGACTTGTATCCTTTTGCATTCGATTTTTTTGGGGGCTATGCCGATTCCTTCGGCTTTAAATAAGCACGATTCGTTTCACCATCGCACTCGTTCATTTTCACTTCACTTTTGCACAAAACCGAATTTTATTCACATTTTTTTCTTTGCGAGAGAAAAAAAAAAACACAAACACAAATTTCAGTTTCAGAACCAAACATCAAATCAACGAAATCAACTTCATAATTTTCTCTTTTAGATTTTTATTCCTTCTTTCAGTTTAAGTATTTAGCGTAAAAATCTACGGAAAATATAAAAATAAATATATATTTGATTTCTTTTTATTTTGTTAATTAAATTCTTTTTTTTTCTTTTGTTTTCTTTGTAGTTCGTGGTAAGCGGATAAAATGGTATTAAAGATTATTGGTTGAATTCGATTATTTTTTTTTTCTTCTTATTTTATTATATTTTTTTTTATATATTCGTTATTCCGTGTGTGTGTCGTGTGTAGTTTTAAATTTTTTTTCTTCTTACTCTCATGTTCGATGTTCGTTCTCTCTAGCCTCTACATATATTGTGTATTTCACTAAAAAATACTGAAGTCTGTACAAAAAAAAAACACTTGGTTTTTTTTTTCTCGCTACAGTGTTTTGCTTAGATGATATTTACACTAATACACCGAATACCGCTCATCGACTATATTTATATGCACAGGCAATACACACATACTCGCGCTGTGTGGCGTGTACGCATACTGACGATGGGTAAAACGGGTCGTGATCGTGTATGCGACTCAGCGCCGAGCTCACTCTTGGTTTCTGCCTCTATATGCTGTTTCGTCTCGGTCGATGTTAAATCTTGCGTTCGTTTTGCTTCGGTTTGTGTGCGCCTCGATAGGAGGCAACGAAATCATCTTCGATTTTGTTGCTCGACGATGGTGCAAATTGAAAATTCAGCATGTTGCTGGACGGAAAAAATGGACAGTGTCTCGAAATGCTTTTCCACACAACAATTTCAAATAGAATCAATGTGAAAATATTAAAATCGAACCTATTTTCCATGCATCGAAAATCTAATTTCAAAAAAGAATTCCATTCCATCCATCCTATCGTGTATACCTTCGGTTTTTCGTTGTTCTTTTTTTCTTTTTTTTTTTTCTTTTGGCAGCGCGTTTTTTTTTCTCTCCGATTTTGCTTCAACGCTAAGCCTATAACATGTTTGTATATTTTCGGTCGGTGCGTGTGTGTTTCTGTTGGTCTGTCGCGCGCGCGAAACACAACCGTATATGTGTGCATGTATGTGTGTGTATGCGTGCGAATACTTGTCGTTTCGTCTCCCATGCAAGCGCACAAACACCATTTTAATGTTTTGTTATCATACACGTTGGGTACCATACCGTTGACTCATTTAGGTACTAGGCTACCCATGTCAACGGCATCCGTTGAGCTCCTAAATCACGATTCCTCGAAGCGAACCAAAAAAAAAGTACGTTTATACACAATATTCGCTGTTACTCAATTCAAATCCGGAGAGCTGTGATATGAAAAAAAAAATCATCAACAACAACAACGGCCAGATCAAGTGTACGGCGTCAAGCCATTCGGATGGGGTTTCTTGGCATTTTTCACATTTGACATGGGTAGCCTATGTCTAGTGCATAGTGAGTCCGTTTTTATCGAAACTGTATAAGGTTGTGTGAGCGTTTTCGGGGCGCTCTCTGTGTGTGATGCAATTGTTGTGTGTACTGTTGCCGCTGTTTGAATCGAACGAGAGAAAAAAAAAAGATATCACACTCATACACACACGGTGCTGGCTGACTCACAACGATTCGCCGAACCGAGACTCGTTTCGATATATGTGTATAAGCACGATGATATTCTTTTCTGTGTGTCCTCCTCTTCTTTTTCGACACTATTGACATCACCGTGTAGCTATAAGTGTATTTTTATATATAAAAATTCTGGTCTTTCCTGTGAAAAATAGATTCAGATAGCGATATGAGCCTCATGTGGTGGCAACTATGACAACAACATTATTATGCGTGTGCTTCGCGACTTTTTTTTTACACCCGTCTACACTCACTCACACACACACTCGAATGCACACGTGTGTGTATGCGTGTTTGCATTTTGAAATCAGAAGAAAAAAAAAATATTTGTTGCTTGCTACCGCACTATGTTTGTCATGAACCTGTGAAACCAAAACCATGCAAACAGCAGCAGCAATAACAACAGTACCAGTGCCACAAAAATGAACGCAACGAATGGTTTTCTTTTTTTTCGCTCGGCCCGTGTATGTATGTGAGTGAGAGAGAGAGAGACTCTTGCAGCGAAAAATCGCCCTGAATCGCGTTGCTATGCGCGCATTGTTGAAACGCAAATTTTCCAAGCGATAAATGCATTTCGCATATTGGTCCAGACTCATCACAATCTGAGAATGTTTCTGTCATGACTATTTTTATGCCCCCGTCAAATTGATAAGATAAGCGAAAATTGTAAATAAAAACGGAATCGCGAATGACGAAAATGAATGGAAAAACTTTCGATGCGAATATATTTTGAAATTTTGTTGTAAGCTTTGTTTTGTTGCTGCGCTGGTCGGTCGGTTGGTTGGTCTCTCGCACGCGGGCTACATTATTGTTGTGCCAAGGCGCTCGTACGCGCCGTTCTTGTGTATGATGTCATGTGTGGTAGTGAACCGATGGTAGTGAATGTACGAGGGCGAAATACACAATCACAAATGCATTATCTGGCTGAATGAGAGTGTGTTCGCGAAAGGCCGTTTGTCAGTGTGAGCGCATTTTGCGATCAAAGCCCATTGCATATTTTGCATTTGTTCGTGAATTCGTTCGATGCTTTGCGTCAGTAGCATTGTGGAGACATCACATCCATGTGCTGCTATGTATGCAGCACGAATCACTCGATCTCTCTTTCCCTCCCTCTGCTAAACACGAAAAATGTGTGCATAGGGACTCAATGCATTGCGAAGAAAAAACATACACCGACCAAAATGAAAAGCAACCACAATACAATAAAATAAAAGAATGGGAACCAATCCCATGTTGTAGCAAACTCATGCGCAATAATTTTGTAGAACGTAAAAATACCGAAAGACATACAGCAACAAACCGACGACTACGACGACGACGACGGAAAAAAATATCCACACACAACTCGTAATATGCCTGACAAAGTGTTGTCTTTGTGTGATTTTGATTTGGCTTCCATTTGACTATTACTAAGAATCGTTATACCCAATGATGTACGCCAATACGAGGCAAAAGTTTAATTGAACGTTAACAATTTCTTCAATCAATGTCCACAGTCTGTACCATGAAAAACAGAAGAAAAAAACGAGTAGCACTTTGTATCATGGAAAACCGATGTTTGTTTATTACCGATTTATAGCTTAAACAATGACACTAGTTGACCTTGCTTTTATTTTTGATTTTATAGCATCACAGCATGAAACGTTTGAAGTTTTAATTAAATCTAATCAGTTAATTCAAATTCAATTTGTACTTTTTTTTCGTAAGATTTGCATGCGATATTATTCGGCAATGCAGCTTATGCTTATCTATTTTAATACTTTACAAACTTGAGTGTTTAATGTTGGAGCCAGACGCAAAAAACTAAAATGGTACAAGAATAAAGTCCAGCCTCGTTAAAACTCAATCATTTCGCATTAACTGGCATTAAAATTGGAATTCAAAAGTCTTATCATGGTTTTTAGTTTTCTGGTAGGTATCCGTTCGCTTTGAGAGCAATTATAATAGGCTCCAAAGTGCTTGGCTTTTCACGCACCATTTTGATAATCGCGTTTTCGGTGTCCGATTGCACTAAATTTGGTTTTGGTTTGTAATTTGGGTCGATTTGTGCTATTGCCTTCTCAATCCTTTGACTGGAAAATGAAAACAAAAAAATTGTAATAATGAACTTATTGAGAGACGACTGATGACAAAACATACCGTTTAAACATTGCATTATCCAAATAAACTTCGGTGTGACTTGACAAACGCTTCAATCTCTCCTTTTTTGCTGGATCAACTGATTCGGCTGGACGTGCCTTTGCACAAACACTGAAATAAATAAATGATTTTGAGACAATTGAATTGAATTGAATGATTTTGTATGACATACGTGATTTCGTTCATTGCAACACCCAAGAATTGGCCAATGCTCCTGAGAAAAGCTGCTATGAAAATTGCGCTAGACGATGTCCGTGTGTGCTTGCTTTTCTTGCTTTGCTTGCTTGGTGGAAACTTAGCATTTTGAAGTTGCGTTGGACTTTCATACGTTTCCGTACCAACCGACCCATCATCTGCTCTTTCCATTTCCTTAATCAAACCACTGAAAATAAATTCAAAATGAAAAATTGACATTTTGTTTTTTCAAAATAAAGCTATACGAATTTTACCGAATTTTCTCCAACACTTCTGTCGCCAAATTTACAGCAATTAAGAAACGGTTCAATTTGTTGACATTTCGCTCAATTTCGGACCTAATAGATATCGAATATATTAAATAACTAAAATGGAATTGATTTTTCATGCAACTTACGATAGAGTTGCTTTCACAGCTGCCAACCCAATTGTCGCGAAAAGATCACCGTTTTTGTAATGCAAATCAAACGTTGATCTTCCGATGCCGGGTGGCGGTGACTCATTCCGAGGCCTCTTTGCTGGTGTGCCCGAATATGAAGAAGATCCCGCGAAACCTTGATCAGTCGAATTTGACGAATCCATTGTTTATAATTAATGTGCTAGAAATATTTTTTTCCTTGGTGCTACACTCGCTGCATTAGTTACAATGAATGGTAAGACGCCTTTTGACAGACGAGTCTAATGACAGAAGAAATTTTCGGTGTGCCCGATGTGTCGGTTCTCATTCAAAATCGAATTAAAACATTCTTCGATCAATTGCCTCTGAAAAAGTCGTGGTTATCGTCGTCGAATGCTCGGTTGTTCCCGAAGAGAAACAACAATGACGCCAAAAAGGTGATGACGGTGGCTGTGTGGCACCAATTGTTGACTTGTGCCACAAAATTCGCGCGATATTGATCCCGAAGAACCGAATTCAACGACAGTTTGACCGATCTCGGTCGCCCGTTTTGGGCCCGCTTTCTTTTCATTCTCACCAAATTTGATCTAATGAAAATGAAAAATAAAATGGTGAACAAATTGATTAGAATTATTGCACTTCCGATCAAACACTGACTAAATCAACAGTTTGTTTTGAAGAAATAATCAATATAACAATCAACTTGCCTCAACGAATTCTAACACCAAACTGACCATGCAATGCAATGTGCAAATGTCCTGTTAGTCAAAAACCACAACCGAATCAAATGCAAAACTAATACAACATCACAATCCAGAAAAATGTGTTGACGAACACTCAAAATCTCGTTTGAATTCGACTCAAATTAGATATTTCGCATCGTTATGAAATTTGGAACACCAAAAACCGCATTGTTCTTCACGCAGCAACAGTGAGAGTTGTCAATTCGATTCTAAAGGATTCGATCGCCACAGTCGCACTTCGATTTGTTATGAAAATATTCTTACTCCAGCACACACACACAAGAATGAAACGAACGAAGCGGAGAAGCATTGAGAGAGAATACACGAGAGCAACAGTACACATAGCTATGTTACTTGAATGTTCTTTTTGTATGCGGTTCTCTCATTCCTTCCTTTGTACGGTCTGTATAGAGTGGAGCTAGCACAATGTGAACCGTCCGTCATTTGTTACATTTTGAATGATATGCATTGCGTTAAAATATTTCATTGGAAGCTGTCTTTTTTTTGAAAACCATGCACATAATTGAACCAACACTTCTAGCGGAAATATGCACGACATTATATTTGCCTGCCATACCTGGACAATTTAAAACGTAATCGTTTAAAATCAGAAGAAATGAATTTGAAAATATACTCTTACCATTCAATTCATTCTCTTTGGATCAATACATGAACAATTTAAATCATAGAATTTTATTGCATACGCTAATGCTATTTTTTTAGCTTCGGGAAGTGTAAATATCGATTGTGTGAACACCATTAATTGACATAGAATTCTTTTCTCTTTGATTTAAAATCTACCATTTCTCTCGTTCCGAATATTCATACAGTTGGTTTTACACTGAAATTTCAGTCGATTTTGACGAAAAAAAAAGCCTAAGAACGTTACATCTTTTAACGCTAAAAATGACTAAATTGCGTTACATGAATGTCTCTATATGTTTATTCCATTTTCTCAAGCGATTCTACAACATTGATGGTGTACTGACAAATTGATGGCTTTAAAATATTTCTTTTCTTTTGTTTCTTTATTTCATTCCAATTTTACAACTGCTTCTCTGCCCAAGCAGTTCATCCAATTCCACTATTCGTGGAATTGGCAAAGATTTCACGCGCAGATAAGATAATGTAGGTGTAGGCAAGGGGTTTTAATTCTTGCCCGAAATGAATTTGGACAGGAAATCGGCTGGTTTTGGCTCAATGGTGTCCTTCCAAAATCGCATTAAGTGAGTCGGCTGCTTCCATTTTTCTATAGTCTCCTGTAGTTCCATTTTGCCTTTAATTACTAACATATCTACGATTCTAATATCTTCTAAATCCTTATGCTTCAAGAATTCTTCGCGTAATTTGGCTCTGCATTGATCCACTGATTTTGGGATGTTGTTTGTGTCCACTGTAAAATTGATTGAAGGATATACAAAAAAAAATCTTGTGAATATGAATTGGGAAAAAATTGAGGTGGTCAAAAACAAACAGCTTTTAATTGAAACAGTAGCTCTTCTAGATACTTTTCTTTTTTTTCCAGAGCAATTATCAATTCAAGTCACTGTTTTTCTTTCGACTTTTGTCTTTTTTGTGCTTTCTCTTTTCATATCTTTTTTATTCTACTTTGTTCCGTTTATCAATGCTTTGAATTAAGCATTTTGTATAATTCGTCGTCATAAGTTTACAAACAATGAATTGGTTATTGAATAAACAAAACAACAACTTTCTGCTACCCACTCAAGGGAAAAAAATATTGGGAGTAAAATTTAATTGAGTGTTGTATGTATCAAAGTCACTAAATTTACAGCCATTTCATATGGAATTGAATCAAAATAACAAAGTGTGTACGTTATTCATTGGCCACTGTGATGGCGATTGACTGATATTCAGCCCAAACTGTTCACAATGGCGTAAAATGTGTCAATTGGGATGAATTGTTCGAGATGAGAATGAAAAACTTATGCATGAGTCTGACCTACGAACGGGATTTGGCGATACCAGGCCTTATACAGATTCAGAACACGTCGTTTGGCTTCCTCTTTGTTCACCGATAGGACCGGACGAACTTGTTGTAAGGTGCGCTTCGCTGCCTCACGTCCTGATGCCATTCTCAATGCTTCCAATTAAAACGCTCGTCTTCTTTCGTTACCTAAAATTGTACGTCAAACATTGCTTGGTTAATAATTGTGCATTTTCATCGCGATTTTTTTTTTCACCTTAACTCAGCGTTATGTTACCTTTTCCTCTTTTTTATTCACTTAAATTATATAATGTTATCGTCGTTTTGTTATTTGACAATTCGCAACATGAGAGAGTTTGACAATTCGCAATCGAATCGTTCAGTAGATGACAAGTCAAGAGACGTACACACACATGGTGATTGTAAAACAATGTATGATTTGCCCGAACGGTTTACGTATTTCGAAAATTATTGCAATGCCAATGGACAGCATTCATATTGATTGATTTGGAAAAATGCTTTCGCTTGAAAAGAGAATGAAAATTATTTTGAGAGAAAAAATAATTATGAATAATCCGAATCAAAATGAAAATTGAAATCGTTCAATTTAAACGCGATGATTTTCTTCTTTTGCTGCAACGAAATCTCTTGTCATTTGTCCCAATCGTAAGCCCGAAATGTCACATTCGACTCGCAATTATTACATAAACACGGCAATAAGAAAATACGACGTTTTGTATCTTGTGGAAAACCAAAAAGGTAATGATCGAATCGATGGAACCAAAAAATTGACTCAGTGACTTTGAAACGGTAAAATTAATTAAAATTGTTTTTTTTCTTCTTTTTTTTTTTGTAGCAAGATGTTTAAAATTGCATTGAATGGTGCGGTGAATGCACCGCAAGCAGCTAAATTGCTTGGGAATTTCATGCAAAATGGTGCTGCTGTCACATCGATCCAATGTAGTACAGCGTTCAAAAATTTTGTGCGCGGTGAGAAAACGATGCAAGTCGTTGACGAAAAGAATCCACCACCGAAGCCAGGATACTCGGTGTTTGGAAACAAGCAGCCAACGATGGCCGAATGGGGTGTTGCACGTTTGGATGATTTAGTGAACTGGGGACGAAAAGGTTCTGTGTGGCCATTGACATTCGGTTTGGCATGCTGTGCCGTCGAAATGATGCACACCGCCGCTCCACGATACGATATGCACAGATATGGTGTTGTGTTCCGAGCCTCACCTCGTCAAGCTGATGTTATCATTGTTGCCGGAACGCTCACGAACAAAATGGCACCAGCTCTCCGAAAGGTCTACGATCAAATGCCTGAACCACGCTATGTACGTTACCTTTGTGACCAACTCTTGTTTTGATTCATTTCTTGAACAAATTTTCAATTGTTTTTTTTTCTCTCCAAAACAGGTCATTTCAATGGGCAGTTGCGCAAATGGTGGTGGATACTATCATTACTCATACTCAGTTGTACGCGGCTGCGATCGAATCGTTCCAGTTGATATCTATGTGCCCGGCTGTCCACCAACTGCTGAGGCTCTTCTGTACGGTATCCTTCAATTACAAAAGAAAATCAAACGTATGAAGACTATCCAAATGTGGTACCGTAAATAAACAATCGATGTCGTTTTGATTTTATGATGTAAAAAATAATAAATTTAAATATTATGCTAAAAAAAAAACAAATGATGCGCAGAAATTGATTATATTTTTTCAAGCTATATATCGTATTATCTTCCGAATTGTTCGACGCAATAAATCAATTTGAAATGCATAGACGATGAAAGTTAATGCAAACATAAGCACGAATTTGAATCATGTAATAATTTATAAATAAATCGAATATGAATGTAGTTTGGCTCAATTGAGGTAAGTATTTCGTCAATTTGAACGTCATCTATTCCGATTAGAACAAATCTTCGCCGTATTGTAAATCGATTGATGAAGTTCACAATGACGTTTCATCAATTTTCTATTGAAAAATATGAAAACTTTATCAAGATCCTATCTTATGCGGCAATGAATGGAGAATGGTTACCTCCCAACTTCAACGCAGAGATTCCAATATAAACTAATCGAGGCGAATTCCGGCCGTTCTCTTGCAATATTTTCGTTAATTTAGACAAAATTGTGATATTTTTTTAAAATACTCTTTATTCAGTATGAATTTCAGAAACAATTCAGTGTTACAATTATTCCAAAGTGTTGGTCAGAATAAATCATTAGCTCGAAAAGGGAATTGGATGGTTCAATTTAAAAAGAAACAAAACTAAAAAAAAAATCCATTTCAGCTGATTGATTTCAAATGTTGATCCATTTAATGATATTATTACGAGCATCGCTGTGGTTGCAGGTTGTTTAGAGTAATCCTTGTCGTTTAAGATCTTCAAACGTTTTCTTATTCACTACGTTGCCCTGTGAATCTTCGAATTCTTCTTCCTGTTCCGGTATCCATCGTTCGCCTTGTTTTTGTGTCTTCAACTTCTCCCACACTGTAAAACAAGAGGTTTTTCATTAGATTGTTTTTCAATTCAAACCGATTCAGAATAACAACACCAAAAATGTTTAACAACACCATGGTATTAAACTTACGTGTGATTGCATCTTCGATTTGTGTGACATTGGCAAAGTGAGCGGTATTTGGAATGCCAAGACAACGCATACCGTGAGCATGTCGCCATTCGGCAAAATGTCGCTGAAACGCTTTTGGTCCTTTATACGTGTAATTGCCACAAATTTCACAATTGTAGCTAATGTTCAAACCGTGCAGTTTGTACAACCAATATGGAATTGGTTTACCATCCCAGCCCAATGGCAAATTTTTCGGATTGTATGGGACATCATCGGCATCGTCATCTTCAACTTCTGATTCGCTTGCCTCGGCATCACTGTCTTCGCGCTCACCATCGGTACGCGCCTGTTTGCGTTGCACATTCTCTTTGGTCGCACTTCGGTGTTCCGATACCAATTCAGCGTAACGATATAGTTGCGCTTCAAGAGTGGCTATTTCATAATTACGTGCTGCATCTCGAGTATTTTGTCGGCCGGCATTTTTCTTTGCCATCAGCGATGCGTCAATATTTCGTTTGCCCTTCGTTGAAAATAGACGCTGTGCACGTTCTTCCAATGTGCCACCGCATTTAATGCCCAATGCCATCAAGGCAGACTTCAAACGATCCAAACCAAGCGAAGCTAACTCTTCGGGACTGGAAAAGGCGGATAAATCCAAATGTGCACCCGAATGTGTCATCGCACTTTCCTGTTCTTTTGGCCAACCAGGAAATTGGCCGACTTGCCATTGTTGCTCGAAATTCATCAGGACTTGGCCCATTTCAGCATCCAAATCCAACAATGGCCGCACTCTACTCACAAAGCTATGCAAGTAATTTATTAGTGTCTCGATGTATCGTTTGTATTCCATGTTTTTGCGCTCTTTTGGTATGTCAAACACATGATCGAATGTCATTAAATAGGTAATATAATCAGATTTTTCGACGTTGCGCAAGTTCAAAAACATGTTGTAGCATTCGTGTAGATCGAGATAACGACCAAAACCTTCTTCATCACTGAATTCCACCAGTAGCGATGCACAATCCACATCGGCCGATGTTCCCGTGTACACTTTTGACAATTCATCGAATTCAACCTGCAGCGGAACACTGACCTCATTCGGATGCTTCTTGTAGAAATCTTTGATTTGCTTCAGACGCGAATAAAATTCACTAAATTCATTCGGACCCGACAGCGCGGCCACTTCAGTTTTTCGTTCACCATCCTTGTCCTCATACAGTTCACGCAATGATGTCGTTGCGCCAACATACATTTCCAATAGCGACTTTAGACGGTGCTCGGAGAGTATCCGTTCCCGTTCCTATCAAATGGAATTCAATTTTAAAATCACTTTGAATTTGTGGCCATTGTGAATAAAAAAAAAAAGATTGTTGAGAGAGACATATAACTTACCGATGCTTTTTTCGTGGCATATTCATCAACCATCAGCTTGACAAGTCTCTCACGTTCCTCATGGTACCGTCGCTGTTGCTCCAGTATTGTTTCCATTTTTATTTTCTTTCAACTAATTTGCAATCCCTTCGAACTGCTTTGACTTTCCGTTGCTCACTTTATTTATTCAATTCATAGGTAGATTAGATAGATAAAAATCAATTGAATCCACAACACATTTCGCATTCGAAAATCAACACGAAAACATCATTTCATTTGTAGACTGTTTGTACGGCGAATTATGGCAAAGACAGTGTGAGTGTGTGTATGACATTTGTGGTTGGAGTAAACGCCGACTTCAGTAAACATTTACAATCGTTGTTGGTGTTGTCCGATGCTCACACACTGCGTTGACAATGTAGATAACATAGTCATCTTCAAAATGGAATATACACGAACTGCATTACCCAACCGCAACTTTTAGCGAGGGCAAGCGCTTAAATTGTAAATTGCAACAGTTGCACAGATTTTGTTCATTTTATTTATTTATTTTTTTTTGAAAAAAAAAAAAAAATACTTAACAACTTTTGCAAATATTACCTTTGTATTCGATGAAAACGGGAATTTAATTCGGAGCATTTGGTCGTTGATCTTTGCATAGGTTATATTATGAGTTGGTCTAAGAAAAAAAAAACCGGTTCTAAGCGCGAGTCCATTTAATCGTAATTGTTGTTATTATTTTGTGTTTTCATGCTGCACAACTCCAGACTCAACAGAAACACATACACACCAACACAGTGACGGAGCTCGGATGCAGCCGTGTTCTGTTGTCTTCGTAGTACAGCGAAAAGAAAGAAGTGTATGCGACATGCAAAAGTCTAAGCATCGCGTACTGTTTGGCGTGGTGCGATGAATGTGTGTTGGTATTACCGACTGCTTTTATTGCCCGTGCCGTGCACTAACATTGGACCGCGCTTCCATTGGTATTGGTAAATCTACAAGTTGTAGCGATCTGAAATGTTGTTTGAATGCTTGGTTCAGTGTCTATTAGCGTGTCGCAACGCAACGATATGATTTGGACGTACTCTCTGTGTGAATGATTTGACGATTTGTTTTTTCGTTTCTTTTTTCGTTCGTTCGTTAGTTCGTTCGTTTATTTTCCTGTGTGTACAATCTTCCCGATTTGTTTGGATTTTGTTTTGTTTATATACAATTGTGTATCTATTTAATTATCCGGTGTGGTGATTGATGACATTAATTTGCAAAGAACCAATATCGCAAATTTTCTCAACATTTTTTCGATTCAGTTGCTTGGGCGGTTTACAATTGCAATGCACACCCGGAAAACATCGAGTACCAAACAACAACAACAACAACAACAACAACAATAACAAAGCACCACTGATCAAGAGTCAGGTGTGGATAGAAGTTTGATTACATGTGTGTGCCTTATAATACATTGTGTTTGAACTTATCGAAAAAATTATAAATAATTGATAACTGCATTCTTTCGACTCGACAACAACGTTGGTCTTTTTTCTGCCGTATTTTTACTTCATTTGCGGTCTCGAAGCAAATACAACTGATACAACGGATCACGTACGAAAAACTGTATCATAGATCAAAGTGCATAATAAAAATGTCGATTTGATTGTAGACAAACAGCAGAAGAAAAAAAATTGTGGTGAAATTATAAATAGAAAGAAAAAATAGTGAAAAGTTATGTGAACGGAAAGTGAAAGAGAGAGAGAAAGAGAAAACAATTCTAATTAACCAGAAAAGGATTATTATTATTCAACAGCAATTGAATTGACAGCACCGCCTTTATGTTTGGAAATCTCATTGGTTTAAATATTTATATAAAGAAGAAAAAAAATCACCCCGTCTGTTTGGATATACCCATTCGTTCCATCGGACATCATTAATCCAGGTAATTAAATGATTATATTTTGTCGGAATTTTGCCATTACACTTCAATCGAATGGAATCGAATCCAATTCGATTGATACATATATATTGGTGCCACTGGCTATCAGGCAATATCAAGTTTTCTGGCTGGTTTTCTATTTTGGAAACACACTGAACATAGTCAAAATATGGCCAAAATTTCATATACCTTTCATCCATTGTATCCATTGGCAATGGTCAATGTTTTCATTGTACTGATTGCGTTTTTTCTTCTTCGTAGAATTGCGTTTATATCTATACATTGTAATTGTAATCATTCTTGAGAAAAACATATTTGACGCATTTGAAGTGTGTCAACATTCAGATATTCCTTATCACAAAGGAATGCTATATCGTTGTTAGACGGAAATATTACATCAACACAAATGAACGATAAATTTGGACCATAACAAAAATTGTTTTGCGTGACTCATATTTTACCGATGATCATCGGATAGTTTGCATCGGATGCAGAATTGCATCGTAAACCACGGTGAATGGCACAGAGTTATGAGACACACAGTGGGAGAGAGATGGAAAGAGAAAGAGACAGCGAGAGAGCAAGAGGGAGAAAGAGAGAGAAAGAACGAAAAAGATTGCAAGAGAATGAGAGAAAGAGCACAGGCAATCGATGATGAGTATAAATACTCTCCTGCGCAAACAATCATTAAATATGTAGCTCCTTTGTTAGCAGTCTTACGGGTGCAGCATAAAATCCAACATGGCATAACAGCACACACACACACACAAACACACATACGCTGATGCATCGATCGAATACATGCATTCACGCGTTTGTTGAACGAAACGAAATAGACACGGAGAAAGAAATGAACGAAAGCCAAACAATAAAATGCAATGTAGCCAGGCATCAATGCATAAATCATCAGGAATTGAGTATACATTTCGTGATGGAATAGAACACATTTTCCTGTGTCCGTTTTGAAATTATCCAGGCATGTCTTTGCAGCAGAGCGGCTACAATGAGATGTGTATTTACGGTTGATCGGCTCAAGCTACTCATTGTTTTTTTTTCACTTTTTTTTCTGAAACTTTTTCTGCAAAATCAACCAATAATTTAGTGTTTCGTCCTGGATAAAGAGAGAAAACAGAACCAATACACATGCACGTAAAAACGGCAAAAGAAAACAAATAAAATTGAATGTAAGTTGATTGCGCCGTTTTAGCACCAAAACAAACAATATGCTGGTGTGATCGCATTAATCAGTCGTTTCAAATGAAAAACAACACACACACACACACACACACAGAGAGAGAGAGAGAGAGAGAGAGAGACTGATCTTGTATCCGAAAATGTGTTTTGGTTGCCTTTCGTTTTGGTGTTGCTATCAACGACAACTTTTATCATGACATTTTCTTTCTCGATCCATTCGTATTAGTATCTCATTCTGTAACTCTTGTGGTGTTTGTGTTCGTCGCTCAGACGAATCGGATGACAATAATTTGGTCACATAAAGGGGAGAGCAATTGTCTGGTTTGAGTGCAACTGCATAAACGTATTGACGTAAAGTCAAAATAAAAACTCATTCTTCCAATCGATGAAGGTACAATTCTGAAATGTATGAGTGCTTGTTGTCAACAATATTCGTATATTGTGACCGTTGCGTTATTATACATTTTGCCATTTTTCATCTTTTTTTTTATCTCGCAGCCTTTATTCTACCAACAATTCTTGCTATCCCTTTCACTTGGCTCGGTGAACGAAAAACCCAACTCTTCTTTCGAATTGCACTTAAAAAGAATATAGTATGATGTGTGAAGAAACGTGAGCTTTGTGTACCCGAATATACAAATGCTGTTGCTGCACTCATAATATGTGATCGCATCGATGTTGATGTGTGTTTGTGAGCATCGCATACAAATGTTGTGTATATCATATAAAAATGCGGTCTACCTCTGACTCTATGTTGTGCTGAGATTGTAGCTGCATTCACTCCAACGCTCAAGACGAAACATGGGCATAAACGAAAGGCAGAGATTTGTTTTTTTTTCTACTTCTTCTTCTTCTTCTTCGTGCAAACGGGAAAATACAAAGAATTGTGTAAAATGAAGCCAAAACATAAACACATACACAGACTTATAGTGCATACAAGCACATGAACCAAAGAAGAAAAAACAACAACAACAACAACACACGGCATCAGCACTTTTATAGTTGTTGATTTCTCTGGAATACAAAAACGCGCATACATTGTAGAGAGTGAGCATAAAAAGAAGAACAGAATCGACGATAAAAACGACTGTGTGGAAGTATATATGGAAGTTTTTCAATCCACACAGCACACATGCATCAAAGCAATTTTCTTAATTCATCTAAAAATCCAAACAGTTGCTGTGTTGTTGTGTGTGCCGAGCAAACGTTTTGGTTCTTTTTTTTTGTCTTTAGGATATTATATTTTCATGTATTTTGCTTTGTTTATGCTCACGTTCATACTCTTCGCTCTTTTGCATCGGTCCAACAATCCCCCACAAATGTACAGGCCTATTGTTTGAATTTTGCACTGAGATTGCATTTAATTTGGGTTTGTTCGTTTGTTTTCGGTTGAGAATGGAAGAATGGATGGATAGTTGGGAATGAAAGTTGCTGCAAGTAACACACTACAGTTCTCGCTCTCTCACTCTCTTTCTCTTGTTTTCTCTTTCTCATTCTCGGCCTATCTTTGTCACTCTCACGCCGCTCTCTCGAATGGAAATGATGAACAAATCAGCGCCGAAATTATGTTTGAACAACCAAATGTATGGTAGTCAATCTTTATTCAACACCGAAAATATGTGCATTTAGAAGAAAAAAAAATGTACGGCATTTTTATATGGAGCTACTTTAAATGGATTTCGTTTTTTTTTTTGTTTCATTCGCTTGCATCGAATTCATTTGTTTATAGACCGATTCGTTTTTTTTTTATTCACATAAATCTCTCAAGAAAATATGATCTAGCCCATTGATGCACAAGCGTCGACGTTGATGTGGTTGTTGTGTTCTTTTTTCTCGTCCGTTCATTCTTTGGCCATTATAGTTCATTGTTCTGGCTCAGAGATTGTGTGTTTCCATGAAATTCTTTAAGACTATTTTCGTCTTATTAGATGAGTGTGTGGATTGAAATATACTTTTTTTTTAAAGAACCACCGTAAAAAATACTACTAACAAGATTACTAGTTTCACTCTATTTTGGGTCCATTTGATACGGCGCATATCCACACGTTTTTTCTATTCGCTTTCGTTCATAATCGACATTTCGTTTCGGTTCAATCGAGAGTTTTTCTTTGTTCAGGAAAAAAAAAACAAAGTATAAATTGCTTGCTGAGCGAACTGAGTCTGTGTACCTTTTTAGCAACAATTTTTTACGCAATAACAAATCGAATGATCCTCGACGCAAAATGATTTGACAATTT